TTTTTAAGCAAAATGAGGCGAATGTTGCATACAATGAATTTTTAGGCATCTTTCAGTACTGTCACAATATAGCTATGCCTAAAAAATGGGTAAAAATTAAGCAGCAAGAAAATAAATGGATTACCTTAGGCATACGGGTATCAGGAAATAGACTTAGGACTCTTCATAGCCTAATGAAGGAAGGAAACACATCTGAAGAACTTAAAAAATACTATAGCCAGTACAAAAAAATATACAACAAAGTTATCAGCGAGGCTAAAAAGTTACACAACAACATGCGAATACGATCATCTGGGAATAAATCAAAAGCCATGTGGGATTTAATCAAAGAAGAATTAGGCAATCAGCAAAAAGTTCCAAAGAACATTGAAATAGAAGTGACTGGAACAGCTATACAGGATCCCAAAGAAATAGCCAATGTTTTTAATGATTACTACACTAACATTGCCCAGCATATCCGGAGTAACAATCCGATAGCACAAAATAATGTAGACAGGATAAATACAATAAAATACAACAGCAATAGCATGTTCTTAATCCCAACCACTGAAAAGGAGGTGGTAGACATAATTAAAACACTGGGTAATAAAAAGTCAACGGGCATAGACGATATTCCAGAGTTCATTATTAAAAAATGTCATTCTCAACTAGCAAATGCTCTAACATACATAATAAATCTGTCATTTTCATCTGGTTACTTCCCTGACCAACTAAAAATAGCAAAAGTGAAACCTTTGTATAAAAAAGGTTGTACTGCTACTGTTGATAACTACAGGCCAGTATCATTAATTTCTGTTTTTTCTAAAATAATTGAAAAAATTATGCACAGGAGACTTCTATCATTCATAAATAAGTATAGCATAATTAACAACAAACAACACGGATTCTGTAAAGGGAAATCAACACATACAGCAATCACGGAATTTACAAAAATGGTCTACAAAGCACTAGATGAAAAAGAAGCAAGTATAGGGTTATTTTTAGATTTATCAAAAGCGTTTGACCTAGTAGACCATGACATATTACTAAGAAAAATGGCAAGAATGGGAATACGAGGGGTTACACTAAGGTGGTTCCAAACATATTTAAAAAACAGGGAGCAAGAAGTAGAAATTACATACAGATGTAAACAAACTAATCGAATCAGTAATTACCTATCCCGAAAGAGACCCATTAGCCATGGCGTCCCACAAGGTTCTGTTCTGGGACCAGTGTTGTTTCTATTATACATAAATGACCTAGAGGCTGTCATAGAGCATGGGAAACCAACGTTCTTTGCTGATGATACTAGCATTTTTATAACAGGAAATAGCGCCAACGAAATTCAAAGGAAAACAAATGAAACAATAAACAAACTCACAGAGTGGTTTGAGTGGAATCAATTAACTATTAACAAAGAAAAAACAATAGCAATAGCCTTTCATCATCCTCAAAAACTACAACTCGAATGCCCTTCAATAAAGATTTATGACACTGTCATCAATTACACAGATCACTCAAAATTTCTGGGAGTCTGGCTAGATAAGCATCTGAGATGGACTATACATACGCAAAAGTTAGCAAACAATTTATGTAAAATATGTTTTGGCCTAAGAGTAGTCAGAAGAGTGACTGGATTAGAGACTGTCCGCACGTTATATTTTGCTTATTTCCAATCTTTGCTATCATATGGACTGATATTTTGGGGTAACTCAGTAAAAGCAAAATTGATATTTAAATTACAAAAGAGAGCTATAAGAGCTATGACCCAGGTCCCAAAAACAACTAGTTGTAAACAAATTTTCAAATCATTACATATATTACCTTTACCATCTTTGTATATATACGAAATTTTAATATACATAAAATCCAATTTAAATGATTTCACAACCAACTCAGGATTACACTCATACAATACAAGGAAAAAAGACGACTTACACATCGTCCCATGTAATACAAGTCTATACAAGAACAACTTTAACAATGTAGGAATTCGACTGCTAAATCATTTACCACTACATATTAAAGAGATACCAGTACTATTCAAGTTCAGAAGTGCTTTGAAAACTTACCTACTTAATCATTGCTTCTACAAAGTGGATGAGTTTCTCTTGTATGGGGCAAGCACTAGCTCTAATCAATTATAATCACATAAGTAATGAATAATTGGTTTTGGAATCGCTACTGCGCAGTTTTCTTTTCCCTTTTCCAGCAACCAAGCTAACACAGTGGAGATTTACCGGAACAGGCTACTCTGGAGATATGCAGACTTCAAGAAGCTTCACCAGCACTACAGAGACCAGGACCATAAACTACAGTGAAGCAACATACCAGACAATATTATCTCTAAGGCCGTGCCACAGCTTAAGCGGTTAGTCGCTGGCTTCCCACCGAGGCGGTCTGGTCCAGTGGGATTTGTGATGGACAAAGTGGCACTGGGGCAGGTTTTCTCCGAGTACTTCGGTTTCCCCTGCCAATCTTCATTCCATCAAACTCTCCATAACCATAACCACCCAGGATATATATCATTCGAATCATAATTTTATTATCTTTGTATACTATTATATCATTGTGTTATATATTGTATTGTTATTATTATTATTATTACTATTATTATTATTACTTATTGTATTGTAAAGTATTTGACTTGTCCTATATCATGTACAATGATCCATGGATATGATATGAAATAAATAAATAAATAAAAAAATTTGGTATTAGTAGATTTAACAATCTGTTATCGTAGTCAATATGAATATCCACTGGACAGCTATCATTAGTAAAAAATTGTATGAAAATATATTTTATCAAAATTTGGTGTCAATAAATTAGCTTTAAACCAATCATTCATGTTTCTAAATGTTTGAATAATACTGTTGTCATAATCTAAACGGGTACAATTCGTGATAATTATGCTGGTGTCATCTGCAAAAAGAACATGTTTGGATTGACTAATTATAACGTTTAGCAAGGTCCTAGTATTGATCTTGGGGAACACCATTATTAACATAGTCCCATCTGGAATGAATATGCCAATTATTGACTACAACCCTTTGGTATCTATCTTTGAAACGGAATTTTATCAACGCATTGGCCTTACCAACTATTCCACAAAGTTCTACTTTAGATAGTAAAATGAAAGATCGACAGTAACACAGCCCAAGGCTTTCTTGAAATCACAGAAAATGCCGCCACCAACTAATATTTTGTTAATCAGTGCATTTAATATATAATTAATTTATGTGAGGCCATTTTTGTAGACGAATTACTCCTAAAACCATACTGTTCATTTGCTAATGTGTTGTTACTCATTATATGTTGGTGCAGTCTTGCATACATAACCTTATCAACAAATTTTGAAAACGATGTCAATAATGTTATAGGTCTTCACTTAGTTATTTTAGTTTTTTTCTGTTTTTAAATAATGGTTTTATTTCTGAATATTTCAACCAAGTGGGAAGACACCAGTTGGGGAGATATTATTATTATTATTATTTCTTCCTTACTCCATTACATCTATAGTAGGCAAAAGCCTTAGATACAGAACTGTGTAAATTTATCTTGCACATACATACATACATACATACATACATAGCTACATGGTTTCACAGATCCTTTGTCCGGATACCGGACTGGATATTGAACTCGTCACAGCCAAACTGACATTGCAATGTGCAACCTGGTCTAGACAATAAAATATTCAACAATTGTAACATTGATAGGTACAACAGAATAAAATCAATCATCTTACAATTCTTGCTAGAACATAGTCTTAGAAAACAGACTGTAACAGTGCATAAAATTACCTACTTGCCATATATTCACCTACCGAGTAAAATGCTTTTGAAGCCAGAAAATCCTTTAGTCTTTGTTTAAAAATATTAATATTGTCTTTCAAGATATATATGTTTTGTGGCAGGTTGTTAAATATTCTAATAGATGTAAAATGCACACCCTTCTGAATGGAAGATAATCTCACAGAAGAAACATGTAGCCTATTGTGCCATCTGGTACTTATTTGATGTATGTTATCGTTTGCTTGGTACATATTATAATTTTTAATTACAAACAATATCATAGTATATATATATAAGCAGGGGACTGTAAGTATACCCAATTTCTTAAAGCCTTCCCTACATGAATCTCTAGGACCCAGCCTTAACAAAACTCAATACTCTTAAGCAATTGTCAAGAAGACTTATAAAATAAGACAATGTATGTTTACATCATAATACAATTTTTCTCTAGCATAATACATTCAAATTTATCATTGATTAAAATTTAAGATAAAAGTTTCCATCAAAAGTAACAGAATATTTTGGTCATATAGCTTAAACATATATAACAAATCCAAGATATAAAAACATTACATTTATAAAATTACAAATGTTAGAAATATGTTAATTGGGAGCTAATGAAAGGAGTGTTGATTTGTAATTTCTAACCTGAATTTCATCATACCCACTACAATTCCTGGTCTTAAGGGTTTAATTATATTTTCAAATTATTTAGTACAGATATGGTTGAGTTTAATTTTTGGGAAGGGAATCGTGAAAGCTTGAAACAGATAATGTGAATATTTTTCAGTATCCGACTCTATAATGTGGCCGACGTTTGCATTATTGGCATTGATCTTGTCAGCTACAGTTTGAAAATAATTATTTAAAGAATCCATAATCACATCATGATTATCAGTTAATTTCCCACCAATGTTTAAAAACTGTATACCTGCATTATTAATTTTTCTGTCCGATTTTATAATGCTCCAGGTGGTTTTCATTTTGTTATTACAATTATAAATTAAATTATTATAATGAAGATTTTTAGCTGCTTTAACAACATTGGCCAAAATTTTACAGTATGTTTTATAATCATATTTTAGATCTGGCTCATACCTTGCTGAATCCCTGGGAAAATGGAAGAATTTTATTCTGCTGTGCTCACTGGATATCCACCCAGGAGCAAAATATTTCTTACTCTTCCCCATTTATCCTGCAAGAAATAATACAAAAATTATAAAAAAAATCACAGTTCAGTCACAGTTTCTTGAGATCCTACAGTCCTTTAGGCTACACCGAAATATGCTTAAAATACAGAAATAGGATTTCAATGTAATATCGTAGCAACACTATTTTACTTCATGTTTGCTTTTAATTTCATTTGGCGTAGTTAGCATAATAATTCATATACAAAAATAACACACGGATGTAAATTTGTGCGTAAATGTCGACTGTCGTTCCACATCAAATAAAAATCCATACTTACTAATTAATTCAACAACATTCCTCAATGGCGTAACTTCATCACAACAAACGGCACGAAGTGTTGCAAATGGCAGATGTAAAGCAATGTAAACATACTGTGTGCGTTTTTATAGATCAGAACTCTGCGGGTTTTAGGCGATGTTGACTCTCAGTGTTCAGATACTAATAACTGAAGATCATGTGGAAGTGCCATAAATGTGGGAAACCAGTTTATTTCGGTAAGGTTTATTATGTCATGTACGTTAGTATGTGTGTGCGAATTTAATAATCGTGAAGTTACCATTTGACGTAAAGTGTAAAATGCATCACATATTTTGTGGCATGTGCATGTGAGTTACGAAAATATGTCTGTATTTTTGTGTATCATTAGTAGCGACGTTAAACAATAACGGTGCACGAAATATACTTCGAATTTCATGAAATACAACATAACAGACATAACCTGTAACCGTAAGACACTTGATTGCTTTGAGTCGTGATTTCGAATTTGAGTTGATTTTTTAACTTTGTATGGCAGAATATGCACTTAACATTTGTAGTTTACGTTATTTCGTTTTGCGGAATTCGACGTAACTTTTAGAAAGAGGGAGAATATATAGAGAGATAATAGAATGTGGGGTGCATTTATGCTTGACAGAGCCATACATGTATCAGGACACATACTTCCGTAAACTGTCATAGCCACACGTAATGTATGTAGAAACGCTAAGATAATATTAAATTACAGTCTTGATGTATAAAGAATACCCTTATGTTGCATGTAAGGTAGTGTAGAATGACTTACGGTTGGTTCCTATGAATCCTTTTGCCCACAATGCAAGTTAAGGTTTTAAAGGGCACACATCTGGCTGTCTGAAATGATGGTAACACATGTGAGGGGTGTCCCCCTCTTTATGTAAATATATTGTGGTTTCACTAGATGTCAAACTGGTGCAGTACTTAGTGCTGCAGTTGGCATTATGAGGTTCATTATTTGAAGTACTTCATGGCCACATATTGATACACTTTGTAATTGCTGATATCCAAAGGAGATGAAGTAACTTGCAAATTAAAATGTGACATTTAAAAGTAGTGTTATGTACTGTAAGATTTTTGGGTTGGTTTATTTTATGATGCTGTCACTGGCAAGACTATGCAGTGCTAAATTGTAGGATGGTTGATGAATTAGAAAGGCTTTGGAAGGAAGTGGTTATGACCTTAAGAAGGTAATGTATTAGAATTTGCCTGGGTGGATTAAGGAAAACTAAGAAAAACGGTCAAGATAGCTGGTGTCCTGGCTGAAATTCAAGCCAAGTATCTTCCGGATACAAGTGGAGCATTACCACTCGCTTAACCCATTTCATGCATACTATGAGATGCAGCAAAAATACACATTACACAAAGACTCTGGGTCGGTATAACAATCTAAATTTGGCTACCTACATTATACATTACCTGGTTAAACCTTTTGATATACAGAGTTCTGTCTTCTGAGATATAATGCTGCACAAATCAGTGGAACTCAGCCTATGTTTCAGAGGAGCTTGCTGCTGTAATCATCAAACCAAGCAAGCAGCAAGCAGACTCGGTTTTCTGGCCACTTTGTGCTTGTTTCTGTATGGCATATTCTTCAGCCCTGAAGAAGGAGGCAGTGTGTTCACCCAAAACATTGATTGGCTTTCTCTAGACTACATGTAATTATATCCTAGAAAATAGAACTCTAGGGAACTACTGTCCTACTAACATGGCGGAAAGTGGTGGCCAAACAGCTGTATGCAATAACGCTTTAGTAGATAACAAGTATGGAAAGTGTAATAAAGTAGTGCGAAATGGCATACTGTGCGATAATCGTGATAAATGGTATCATTTTAATAAGTGCAGCAATGTAAGTGAAGACAAAATACCTGATAATCAATGGCTTTGTGTTCCGTGCTCACTACGAAATCCTCCAGAAAATGAGATTATGACTACACAGTATGTTGACTGTGAAGTTGTCCGTAAGTTCTTAAGAGGAAATATCGTCATTGCGAGAAATGTTATCTATCTTACAGAGTGAAAGAGTGCAAGAAGTACATCTTCCAATATATTATGAAAACGAAAATGGTTGGAGCCAGGCAGCTAAAGGTAAATTGAGAAAAAAACTTGTGACTCCACAGTTTTCAGTTTCAACAAGTAACAGATTCTGCCCCCTAAATGATGTTGCTGATGAGACTGTCAAAAAAAAAAAGATACTTTGTTGCCAAAAAAAGGAAAGTGAAAAAGAATAAATTTCTGTTTTATAGTGATAGCTATGGTCGTGGCATACCTACGTCACTGAACAAATCTAATGATGATATTTCAGTGTTTGATGAGGTTAGGTCGGGTGCTAAGGTAAAGGATATTTTGAAACACTGTGTAAGAGATTGTGCAGTACTTGGCCCATAGGACCATGTAATAATTATGGTTGGTGCCAATGATATTGCTAGAAACGAAAGAAAGACTTGTATCATTGTTTTAAAAAGAACACTTTCCGCACTGACTTGTACAAATGTTGTTGTTCTCAGTATACTGATTAGGCATGATTTAATAAAAGAATCAATAGTAAATAAGGAAATAAGGAAAGCAAATATGGACATAAACAAGGTGTGTAAAAGATTCAGAAATGTTAAGTATTCGATATGACTAATATAAGTAGAGCCTATCACAGAAGGCATGGGCAGCACCTAAACAGACTAGGTAAAGAATATATTACTCAAGAAATAAGTAAAATAATAGCTAATAATAAAAAGAACCAACTAAATGTAATAGTTCTAGGTGATCTAAATCAGGGAAACTAACGATGAAGACTGGATCCCTAGGGTTCCAGTCATTCCCAATTGGGGAAGTCAAGCCAATGCATAATTTGAAAATAATACATCAAAATGCTCAATATCTTATTAATAAAACTGAACTATTTACTGAATTTCTCCAAAGTACTACCCCTGATATACTATTAGCTATTTCTGAACATGATCTCAAAGAGGATGAAATCCCTCAATGTATGTTAGAAGGTTACACTCTAGTCTCATATTTTTGTAGGAAAAAATATAAAGGTGGAGGGATAGCTATTTACAGTACCAGTAACATGGAGCAAAGTAAACCCTTGAATTGGGTTACAGAAAAAAGTGTAGAAAAAACTCTTGAGGTTACTGGTGTAGAAATAACAAGTGACAAGATAAAACTTATAATTATTGCATTATATACGAGGGGGTACCCAAAAGAAACCGAAGTTATTTTTTTTAAACTTATTTATTCAAACTTTAAGCACAAACCTTAAATCCCCTTCAAAGTAATCTCCACTTACACTAATACACTTGTCTAGTCTTTTATTCCATTTTTCAAAACATTGTCTAAATTCATCTTTTGAGATGCTTGACAGCGCCTCCGTCGTTTTTTACTTTCATGTCTCTTTTCATTCGAGGAAACAAAAAAAAGTCACACGGGGCAAGGTTGGGTGAGTATGGAGGGTGAGGAACAGGGGTCATACCATTTTTGGTCAAGAATTGTCATACAGACAGGGCTGTGTGAGCAGGGGCATTGTCATGATGGAAAAACCAGTCACCCGACTGCCACAAATCTGGCTGCTGAGCTCCAAGTCACTCCTGACAGCTCCAAAATTTCTTCAGTTGTCCGTCGTCGATCTTCCTTGATGATTTCACGAATTTTTTCAACATTTTCATGTGTTCGGGCCGTGGAAGGACGACCAGAACGAGGTTTGTCATCAATTGACATTTCACCATTTTTGAAACAGGAAAACCAGTCAAACACTTGAGTTTTCCCCATAGCATCGTCCTTGTACACCGTTTTTAACATTTCAAGAGTTTCTGTTCCACTTTTCCTGAGCAAAAAGCAGAATTTCACGCTGTTCACGAAAATCAGCCATTGCAAAAACGACGATCACACAAAACAGTTGTCACTATAAACTCTGCCGAAACTAGTCCTTACCTTCTGAAGCAACGGTAGTCGGCTTATCGACTGAGGAATGTTAGCTCTATGCGCTCATAGCGGCAAAACGCTGTACTACAAAAGCTCTGCCCACAAAAAAATTAGTTCGGTTTCTTTTGGGTACCCCATCGTAGATCACCAAGTGGTGGAATATATTAATTTTTTAACCTACTAATAGATATATTGGAGCAGCTTGTTTAGAAAGATCGATATGTCATTCTTGTTAGAGACTTAAATATAAATACCCAGGAAAATGGATGTGGTCATAAGCAATTATTAGATATCATTAATGCTTATAACATGACTATGACAATAAATATTCGTACTCGAGTAACTGAGAGTATGGCAACGAGTATTGATCAAATCATTACTAATATACCTGCTAATTGTTATTATACTAATGTTATAAATAGCCTACTTTCGGATTATTATGCACAATGTATAACTATTAATATGACCGCACCACTACAAATAAGTTGTTATAAAGAGGTTAGGGATTTATCGGGTGACAATGTATACTGCTTTTGTTCTTTTATACAAACTGAAACTCTGACTGACGTGTTTAGTGAAAATGATATAGAGAACAACTACGAGTAGAACTCCTTTTATAGCATTTTTAACTACTGTTTTAATATAGCCTGCCTTAAGGTAAGATGAAACATTGCATGGGTGAATAAGGCTGTTGTCATAGCCAGAACAAAATTAAGAAACTTGTATGATCTTTATATACAATGCAAATCTCTGGAATATAAAAGCATCTATAAAAACATAAAAACATTTATAAAGCATATAGAAAAGAATAAATATGATCATAAAAACTGCAAAAGCAAATTATATTCAGAATATTATAAATAGATCAGTAAACATTCCAAAAGCATTGTGGAAATTTGTAAATCGTGAAAGATAAATTCTCTAAATAATATACTTACTAGAAATATGTACTTATGTATTAGATGGAAAACAAAAAGTTTCAAGCACAAGTTGAACTTGTAATATATTTAATAAAACCTTTGTAGAAATTGTTAATAATCTTATACTTGATAAAAATTTAATCCATCCACAAACTGTTAATAATATAGTTAGCTTAAAAGACTCATTTGTTTTGCTTGAAATAACAGAGGCCGATTTGATTAAAATAATCCACAGTATGGCAAATAAAAAGTCGGCAGGACTTGATGATATCTCACCTTACTTGCTAAAAAATGTACACCTTATATTTCCAAACTGCTTTTAGAATTGGTTAATGCATTAATTAGAGATGGCATTTTTCCATCTATATTAAAAAAAAATCGGTCGTTTCCCCTATCTATAAGGGGGGAACTAAGGAAGATGCAAGTAATTATCACCCAATCACACTTCTTCATACTTTCTCTAAGGTTTTGGAAAAAGTAATAGTTAATCAATTAACAGCCTTCCTAGATAAACATAATATATTAAATAAATTTCAGATTGGTTGTAGAAAAAACATTCTACTAATGACGCAATTGCTACAGTTATTGAAAATATAATAGATAACTTGAATGATAAAATGCAACTGCATATCATTAGACTTATCAAAAGCATTTGATTGTATTCAACATAACATTCTTATGGATAAATTATATAAATATGGTGTTCGCGGTATTCCACATATGTTAATTAAATCCTATCTTACAAATAGAACACAACAGGTGAAAGTAGCACATATGGAAATCAACGAAATGAAGGAATATTTATCAAGCAGCCTTCCAATTAAATGTGGAGTCCCTCAGGGATCAGTCCTTGGTCCATTACTTTTTATTTTATATATAAATGACTTTCCTCACTTAATACAAGGTAGATCTATAATCTATAATCAATATTGAATATGGGACAAGACTTCAGTTAATATTGGAGTTGTGGAGGAATACTTTGAGATGAATGATTTATTCATAAACCCAACCAAAACGCACTGCATCTTTTTTCAGACAAAGCAATGTAGGCAGGACCATAAATATAAAATTGTAATCAAGAATATGGAAATAGAGAATGTTAAAAGTGTAAACTTTTTGGGGGTAGTAATTGAAAGCACCTTGAGCTGGGATGTTTATATCGATAGAACCTGCAGTCGAATTAGCCACAACTTATTTATAATAAATAGACTTGCTAAAATACTCGACCTAAAGGGTAGAAGAATGTTATATTATGGTTTGATCTATCCATTTCTAACATCTGGAATTGTAGTATGGGGACAAAATGCTAAGGCACTTACTAAAAGAATTTTTATTCTTCAGAAAAGAGCAGTACAGTACACTGCAGGGCTAAAACCTTTAGAATCGCTCAGAGATAGTTTTAAACAACTTAAGATTTTAACAGTATATTTGTTGTGCATTCAACAAACCATCTTATATGTAACTAATAAGTGTAACTGCACAGTAAATAAACAAGTACACACACTATACAAGAAACATCAGTGACTACCATAAATGGCTGCATAACTTAGAACTTTATAACAGTAAACCTTCAGTTGCTGGTTGTATCTTTTATAATAAATTACCTAATAATATAAAACAACTTGAAAATAAAAACCAGTTTATAAGGGAACTGATGAATTTACTCATTAATGGGTGCTACTACTCAATTGAAGTCTATATGAATGGTAAATTCTTAAATACTGGATAAAGTTACATGCTGGATGTAAACAATCGTTACATGTTTTGTTAGTTTATTGGCTAAGAATTTATTGTATTTTTTCTGATTTTATAATTTATATCATGTAACATGCCCTACATCAATGTAATATGATCTATAGTATTAATAAACATGAATGAATGAATAACTCAGTCTGTATAGCAACAGACTGGATGGCTGGGGTTTGATTCCCAGCGCGGGCAAGATATTTTTCTTCTCCACAGTGTCCAGACCGGCTTTTAAGGCCCACCTAGCCTTCTATGCAGTGGGTATCAGGGGCTGTTTCCATGGGAGTAAAGTGGAAGGGGCGCAAAACTGATCACTCACCTTCATCTAAGAGTGGTGGAGCTATCCTTCCACTCTGCCATATGTCTTCATGGCATACTGCTTAAGCAGAGGAACAACTTTACCTTTTATTTCATAAACACTGGTGTGAGAACCAAAAATTGTACGCTTTGATGCAATCTTGATCTTCATTGAAGAATGCCGTTATCTGGGATGTGGCACCGTGGTGATATTGTGTTAACCGACATTTCAGGGGAACATATCGCCTCCATCTTCAGAGTATAAGAAATCCGCGAGCTAGGAACCAGCGTGATCAGGTGGCTGCGGACTTGATCTTCATTGTATGTTTAATGTAGTCCAATTTCTTTTACTCTTGCAGCGGAAAGGAAACAATCACTGGGTTATGACTGGCATCCAGAATGTCTGAGATGTGAAGAATGCGGAAAACGGTTGAATCCCGGGCAGCATGCTGAGGTGGGTCTGTAGAGATTGGTGTTAGATTTCGTATGGGACAGTAAGAACTTTCCGTCGTCTCACATTACTGAATCATCACCCTTCATCATCTGCAAAATTGGCATAAAGTGCATAATAGCATAACTTATATGTGTATGGTTTCATATATAAATGCCTTCCCAAAATGTGCTGCAAATTTGTAACTCGTGTTTTATGACCTTGAGAGAGTGAATTCACATCGATAATAGTAGTTGTAGTAGTTGCACCAGGATATTTTCCAGGGTGCAAGAGGTGACAAGAAGAAAGTAAGTAGTAACCTACGTTTTAAGTTCCTAAAGATTATTTATACTGATTACCCTGTAGCATTCATGTTAGAGAAATAAAGTTTGTTAAGAAACTAATTATACTTTTTGGCATAGTCCTTCAATTTCTAATTTTGATTGTTTAAATATCCACAGAGGTGTGTAGATGCCTGGCTTGCCCTCACCATCCTGCTGCCATAGCCCATGGTTATATCTCATGTAGAAGTACTGAGCAGCCTTGAAGCAATTAAATTAATAAGATTTATAACTTTGTATCGATGGTATATCATTACAGTTATTGACTTTTTGATCATTATCCATTGTCCTGTTTTTATTTTAAAACATTTCAGAAACTGGACTCTGCCTCCAAATGTTATTTTTAAATAAAAACAGGACACTGGATAATATCCAAAAAGTCAGTAATTATAGTTAAATTAATCTGTGTTTCTTTTCATTATTATGAGCTGGGATAGCATAGTCGGTATAGTGACTGGCTACAGGCTGGACGATGGAGGGGTTGGAGTTCGAGTCCCAGTATGGTCAAGAATTTTCTCTTATCCAAATCTTGCAGATTGGCTCTGGTGTCCCTCAGCCTCCTATCCAATGGGTACTGGGGGCTCTTTCCCCAGGGGTAAAGTGGCCAGGGCATGAGGCTGACCACTCACCTCCAGGTAGTGCAGAGGTGAAGAAAACGTGGATCTATACCTCCCCTTCCCCATACACCTTCATGGTATAGTGCTTAATTAGTTAAGCACAGGGACAGCTTTACCTTTTACCTTCTTTTCATTATTTTGATGGTATTCTTTCTGTCTGTATTTGTAGCATAAAGGAGTTCCATACTGTCATGTTCCCTGCTATGGTGCATTGTTTGGCCCACAGCTGTTTGGACATGGGACAAGGGTTGAGTCTCATACCAGCTTTGGTAAAGTGGAAAATCGATCTGGAGGACCAAATATGCCACGGTATAATATATATTTCCTGCTGTACATGTTGCTGTCTGTGGTATGGTATGTGTCTGTACTTCATTATGCAGGATTATGACCAGCAATTATGGAATGCAGACATGCCAGCCTAATGTGTCTGTGGTGTATTCTTTGTTGTCATAAGGGCATTTATTTACTTTAGTGTCACAAGCATGAAGCTGAATTTTTTATTTACATTATCCTGTGTTGAACTATATTGTGGATATGTTATCAGAAGAGCAGCAGTTTATTCTTAATATCGGATAGACCATGCATTCTTCTTTAACATAGTTTTCAAGAAATATTTTGTTAATGGAAAGCATGCTGACAGAGTATTTACAATTTTACATAGTAATAGGAGCCAGGATAGGGCAATCAGTATAGGAACTGGCTAAGGGTTGGACAACAGAGGTGTGAGTTTTGAGTCCTGGTAGGGTCAAGAATTTTCTCTTCTCTGCATTGTCCAGACCGGTTTTGGGGTTCACCCAGCCTTCTGTCCAATGGGTATGGGGGCTCTTTCTTTAGAGATAAAGCAGACAGGGAGTGAATATGACCACTCACATCCAGCTATTTCCGAGGTCAAGAAAACGTGGGTCTATACATCCACTCAACCATGCTCCTTCATTGTTGCCACTCCATCTTCTGGGTAGTAACAGCCTGTAAGACAATACTGGATACACCACAGAGTTTCGTGATTTTGTTTTGGTATGAACACTGTAAGCTGGAATAGTTCAGTTAGTACGATGACAGACAACCAGAATATTTAACTTCATAAGGGTGGTTCCATTGGTATTAAAAATCCGTAATACTGAACCTACGTAGTTTATTATTGAATTTGTGGATGTACTTCAGATGTCTGTCTTAATATTTACTGTGATGTTCTTAGTATTTGTGTTGATGACTTGCCATAATCAGGTATTTTATAATGTAGATACGTTACATTTCCTTTCTTGATTGTTCTAAGTTTTGTATTTTATTAGTGCATTAGTTCCTTTCTAAAGTAATGTTTCATTTTGTAGGTCTCACTTGGAATCAAAACTGAAAGTTTTCAATCAGTTTTATGATGGTAAGAGTGGAGAAATCAGGAGTAGAGAGGTATGCTGGTTCCTGTTGAAATATCATTATAGAGTAATTCACTTTGTACTTAAGTGCATGTATACTGTATAAAACTTTGAGTATGGTCTGTTCTTTTTCTGAAAATAAAATTGTACTAGATCAATATTATTTTCCTTGTCAATGAGTTACATGGACCAGGGTTATTAAGAGCATGAAACATATTAGTAACTTTTGTTCTTGTGCATGTAAATATAGTTTGTGTGGGTGTGGCTAAATGTGTTCAAAGTTTCCGTTCTGTTTCAGTTTATTCGCCTCACATTTTCTCCCTTTTATGTTACTTAATGTAAGCTGTGTTCTTTCGTAATGCCTTGTCACCTTCACAAGGATGTGTCATTGTTTTCTGAGTCCTTCCACATGACTGAAGCCATCTCTAAGATAGGTTTCCTCTAGTTGAGACTTCATAAATATTTCAGAGATTATGTGTTTCCTCTATAAGCTTGATAGTAAGGGTGAAATGATGGAGACAGTATACATATATATATATCCAGTGATTGAGGCTAGCTCTTTCTAAGGGACCCAACAGAATAGGTGTTTTCCCTCACCTGAGGATGGAAACAGATCCAGTTTCTGAAATTCGTGTTTTTCTTAGTTATCTTAAAAACCAGGACGATGGATAAAGTCCGAAAACCCAATATCTCTGTGACTTTCTTGTTTATTTTTAAATTGATGGTACAATAAGCATTACATAAAAGCTAACAAAACAGAATCAGAGTTACGTACATTCATGAAGAAATTAAGAGCAGATTAAATTTGGGAAATGTTTGCTGCCATTCAGTTCAGTACCTTTTGTCTTCATATCTGTTGTCTAAAAGTGTAAAGATTAATGTACACAGAATTATAATTTTGCCTGCTGTTTTGTAATGCTGTGAAACTTGATCGCTCATGGTCTCTTGCATTAAGAACATAGGTGAAGAGTGTTTGAGAACAGTGTGCTGCAGAAGATATTTCGACCTTTGAGGGTAGCTGGAGAAAGCTGCATAATGAGAAACTTCATAATTGTTTTTCCTTGCTAAATATTATTACAATAAACAAATTGGTGAAGGGCATTAGAAAGACCTAGGCACTGATGGGAGCATAATATTAAAATATATGTTGAAAAAATAGGATTTGAGGTTGTGGCATTTGGATCAGGATAATGATGAATGGCTTGTTCTTGTAAACTTGGTAATGAACCTTTAGGATCAATAAAATGCTGGTAATTATTTGAGTAAGTGAGCAACTGTTAGCTTCTCAGAAAGGACCCAGTTCTGCGGATTTAGTTATAAAGCAAGAAGTGTTCATGCTTAAGTGGCAAAATACACTGTAGTCTAAAATATAGTAGAACACGTAAGTTGCTTTGAGAACAGGCTGCAAATTGATGAGTCCAGCAGAAGAGATGAGCTCACCAAGTCAACTTTTTCATTTGTGTTAGACTTGCAACATAGTAGAAGAGCCTGTAGGCCAACAAATCACAACCAAACCTCACCCAGGTCACAAGAGGTGTAAGAAATGGTCCCTGTTATGCACACATTCCTGGCACCTGCATAAAGTGTTCACATTCGTGTGTTGAAATTCCCTTTTGGAAGCAGAAGATAGCTGAAACTTTACACCCAGGTCTCCTATTTATGGTGTTTAAGGGTTTTTCAATATGAACATTCAAGCCTAGCACCGATTTCATCCAGTATCTCTTCTGTGAGCACTCAGTATTTGGTAGTTCGTGTTTGACCAGTAACAACATTGCAAGTCAAAATTTGTTTATTCAAAAATTGCATGAATATTTTTTTCAATGTGAATCTGCAGCATTCTGAAATTTATGCCTGAATCCTTTTATGTTTCTTACACAATCACTTTTCCCATAGATATTGTTTATGAGCACCTGTTGCTGCAGCAGAACTCAGTAATGCACTGTTGGCATTTGGCACAGAAAATAACAAGAGTAAGTCATGACTGCATATTATACAGGTCAGATGCAGTAGCAGTAGCAGTAGCAACTTGTTATTAGGCCAGCACATGATACTTAAGCTTGCTGTACATTAACTGTTCTTGGATGATACTGAAGAGAAATTGTAGTGTATTTAGGCTGTTCGTTCGTTGATGACACTACAAGCTGGAAGGTGTGCAAACCAGTCTGTAAGAGTAACAGTGGAGCTTTCAGTGGTTGTACAATTTGCAGCAGGCTCTCAGATAACTTCCCTGTAGCATGAGAAGCATGACAGAAAAGCATCTGGTTAGTGAAATTCATGAGACTCAATGTTTGGACTTTTTTGTGTGGACAGGCATATACAGGGTGTCCCAGGAGGAATGGACCAAACTTCGGGAGGGTGTTCCTTATGTTAAAGTATGCCGATATAACCCAAAACACCTATGTCCAAAGTTGAACGGTTACGGAGATAATGGCCAGAGAAGTGTCAAACTTTGACCGGTGTTACACACTTGTTGATTACAAAATACATATTAAAACTGGCAGGAATATGTGGATTCTGTAATGTTAATAATGTATGTAACATCAAACTAACTTGTGAGTGACGGAAAGCCATAAAATTGAAGTACGAAATACTCGCTCGCCATGTCATAATTGTCCTTAGGTTTCCAAGCACTATACATGACACATGACTGGCGAGCGATGACGTAATATCGCTGCGCTATAACCCGACCACATAACTGTAAACGTACATTCACAGGAAATCTCTTTTGGAATTTCGTTTCCATTATCTCATGTGGATTATTATGGAACCACGTATGCACATTTCGTAAATTATTTACACCATCCAGGGTAAAAGACGCCTCATCACTGAATAAAATGACGCTTAACAGTTCGGGATGAACTTTTTATCCAGTGGCACAAATCCATACGCTGTGCATGGTCGCCTGGTTCCAGATGTTGTACCATTTGATCATGGTAAGAATAACTCTTCATGATGTAAAGTTTGCCACACCTGAATACGTGATACGCCGATGCGAGAGGCGATTCTACGAGTGATAGACGCGGACTTCACTGAACAATATCAAGAATGTGCTCTCGTGTGTCTATCATTCGTACATCCTGCCTTTCAGAGTGCACAGAAACACTTGCAAGAGAACCAGTATCACGCAATGTCTGGTGAATTCGCGTAAATACACTTCGCGATGGAATCCTTCGATCGGGAAAACGCCTTTGGTATTCTTCAACAGCAGCACGTGCATTGCGACCGCAAAATCCACACACAAAATTCATATCACAATATTCCACATGTGAAAATACAAGAGGCATTTCAGCAACTCATCACACAACTAATTTACCACCCATTCACGACCCCGCCGCAACGTAATCTGTAGGCTGTGGTAGGTTGCGCATGAGATCACGGCTAGTGTGACATCACCACACTCAAGTACAAACAGATAACAGTCACAGCTGACTGTCCACAGTGCGTGGACCTGCAAGAAGACCACACTTTTCTCGGGCCATTATCTCCATAACCGTTCAACTTTGGACATAGGTGTTTTGGGTTATATCGGCATACTTTAACATAAGGAACACCCTCCCGAAGTTTGGTCCATTCCTCCTGGGACACCCTGTATAGAAGTTGCAGACAGAGAAAGAGCTTGCACGTGTACATAAGTATACCGAATTTGAAACCAAGGGTATCCTTACAAATGCTTTTTCAATTGCAAGCGCTTTATCATGTCAATTTGGTCAAATTTGATGTGTATGTTCAGTCATGAACCCTGTATTCAGTTTCGGTATGAAACTATGGTGTGGAGCGATAGACAGGAAAGATGCATGCAGTAAGGGTTATATTTGCAGAAGATTTCACATTTGTTCAGCTCAAGAGGTGGTGCACACTCAGTAAACATGGCACAAGACATTTAATGAAAATTAAAGAAACTTGGTAGTTTTCAATATTGTTGATGTCTTCAGCACATGTTTTGGTTTTTCTGTTGTGTAACATTGCATGCATTGATGCAGGTCAATGGTCGTCTAGTTTTGGAAGGAGCCTTACGGATTCACTGGGGTGTTCTTGGAGTGATCCATCTCAAAGAAGATGATGATCAACGTACAGTTGTCACGATACGGAAACGTAATTCATGTAGAAGTGGAATTTTTAATGGTGTAGATTTTGAAGTAAGTATTAACACTACTTAAATGTAGGTGTGCAGAAGATGAAGATTTGTTTGGATGTTTTATTATAGTATTTCTAACACAGAGGTGTCTTTTCCACTGTTTTGGGCTGACACATATTTTGAATACTGCAGATTATACCACTTTTAAGATCTGAAAGTTCGTGATTATGGTATAACACAACAAATATTGGTCCATCATTCTGTTTTATTTAGGAGAGGAAAGTGAATAATGCCAAAAAAGCCAATAATTGTACGAGTATTATACCATTTTTTTGTATTTGGAAGATCTGTGTTTCATTAATGTTTACTGATTTCTCATTTAAATACAAGGTGGTTCAAATATGACCGGGACTGGTTTTTTTTTTAAACCAAAATTGCCAAACACTTACTTGCACATGTCAGTCTTCAACGTACTCCCCTCCGGAGTCAACACATTTTTTCCAACGTTCTGGAAGCATCCTGACGCCCTTTTCAAAAAAGTTCTGTGGTTGGTGGCGTATCCACTCCCGAACATTCTGGATGATGGCGTTGTCCACAAACCGCATGCCTTGCAAGTCTGATTTGAGCCTCCCGAACAGGTAGAAATCACTTGGTGCCAAATCGGGACTGTACAGCGGATGTGTCAGAAGGTTCCATTTCAATTTCCGGAGGGTTTCCATTATTGTTTTGGCCGTATGGGGGCGTGCATTGTCTTGAAGGAAGGCTACCCACTTTCCACCTCTCTTCCGCTTGGATCGGATCTTTTCCTTCACGTCTGTTGCCAGGAGGTCTGAGTAATAAGCTGCATTGACTGTTCTGGCATCTGTCAGAAAGTCTACATGGATAACCC